GAGTTAATTACCAAAAAAGCAAGAAGGACCAGAGTAAGATAATGCAAAGACAAAGAGCAGACACATCTGAAAACCAGCAGAAATCAGATTCAGGCTCCAGGTGAAGGGCTATATAAAAAAAAGAGGAACACATTCTTGTTGTGAGACTGTAGCAGTGTAGCTCATTTCTGTAGAGAGGTGCATGTCTCTCACCTGTGATGTGGTTTTTGGTTTAGCAACTTGCTGTGAAAGCTAAATCAACACAGCATAGGCTGTTACGCTTGAAGACACAGTGTAGCCAAGACTCTAAGATTAAATATGTAATGAAGTAGCCCAATTTGAAATTACCTCCGAGAAAGAAGAAAGATGCATATAACACCCCTTGCTTTTTTAAGACATGTTAATGTTTTTGACCTAAAATGAGTGTGCATTATTGTTTAGATTCAAAACTGCAATTATATTTTATATTTATACCTAATTAAAGCTAGCTAAAATTGTCTGTATGTGCAAACTGTGTCTCACTGATGAGTGACTTCTGAGGTCATGTGAAGACAGTTTGTCAGTGCTGACATCTACAGGCCGGCCATGTTAGTGTWAGGTACTCCAGCAGTGACCTCAGTATTCATCACCATGTCTGTATTTACTCAGATCAGATTGTGATTTTGTCTCAAAACTGAAACTTTGAGAAAAAAGAGGCTGCAGGAATGAACTGTTAATTTTGAGTAGTCCTGATTCTTGATTCTTGACTTTGATCTGATTCAAATAATTTGGTCTATTTTAAGAACTATCTACATTTATCAAAATTTATAGAGCACATTGGGTAAAATCGGACAAACCYGTTGACTTTTTGTACGGTTTAGGTAACCATATTTTGTTAGAGGCATTGGTGTTTAATGGTGCATCTCTCTCAGAGTAAACTGTTTTCCCTCCCTTTTGCGTTTCTGATACATGTGTGGCGAACTAACATTTAAAAATGTCAGTTTTGGTGCCATTTTCTGTGCAAACAAACCATTTCTGCTGGTGTCTGGAAGAAAAATAAAATCCTTTTTAGTATTGTTTATTTTTCTTTCTGCCGCCTTTGTTGTCTTTAGGTATTAACTGTGCACACTTTATCGTTGTTTGTTGTACTGACTTTAATTATTATTCTCTTAAAATTCGTAATCCATAATGTTTTAATTGCTTGGCTTTGCTATTTGTTTTGTTTCAGTATCAAAATATATTGTTCTTAGTCATTTTTTGTGAAGTTTTGGTGTGGATTTTTAGTGGACTTTTTTATCCTTACTATGCTGTTTACAAAAACTCCTACTCAACGTCCTCAGCCCTCTTTGAATAATAGGCAACAATCAAGGCCTTAACTAACAATAGTTAAGGCCTGATAAATCTCAATAATCCAGATAGGAAAAAAAAGTTAAGGAGATCCTCTGGACATGTTCTTATTTGTTGATAAAAAAGTTTAGTCTCTTCTCCAAGAGTCTTCTCCAGTCTGAGGAGTTACAGGTAAACTCAGACTTACTGTATAAGCAGTGCCTCCACATTGTAGACAAACAAGTAAACAACAATCAAAACGGTTTGTTCACGTACAAGAGAGGCACATCGGCCAAACGATTGTTAGACAAGGTTTTCCCAGTATTATTTTTAATAGTCCCTAGAACCAGTGACTCTTGATCCATTGTCTCAGCTGTAAAATGCATTTGAAGAAAATCAAGCAATGGTCCCTGTAGCTAAATGACCAATTTATGCTTTATAGTCCATTTTACTGTAGAGGTAAAAGGCAGAACAGAGCTCTTAGGCCTGTGTCTTAAAACTGTAATACCAGTAAGTCTTTTTTAAGAGAACCAAAGAAAGGCATTAATCCAATATAATTTGACTGGTTTCTTTTGTTCAAAAGTACATTTTAATTCCTAAAGGAGGGAAAGCTCTAATTTGGTTGGTAAACTCCAGTAAAATGTTTATTGTATAAACTCTGGTGTTTACTAAAATGTATTCAGTTTGAGTCTGGCTAATGTTTTAATTAGGTCTCATCAGGTGACTCAAATGACTGAATACATTAGCACACATAACTTAAGATGGCAGCTGTGTAAAATAAATCAGTATTGTTGCAAAAGGATGTTTTGTTTGACTCTTGTCACAATAAATTGTTCAGCCCAGCTCTATGGCTTATAATTTATTTATAAACAGCCAGACAAGGTGATAACTTGATATTTGAGTAGCTCCAGCCTCATTCTTTATGAATTCTCACTATCTCTAGCCACTGGATTTTTACTCAGACTAAATCTTTGTTACACCTTTGTTATGACATGATACATTCGTATATCTGGAGCTAATCGGGCTCTTTACTGCAGAGGAAGCTCAACGCTCCAAATGATCATGCCAGCTGCTTTGACATGATAAATTTGTACAGCTGAAGGAACTTTGCACATTTATATTTAATCTCCCAACTCTCATCCTTAATGCATGAGAAAAATGGAAGACCCCATCACCCCAACCCCCACCCTGGTTTGACCGCCTGATAGAGGAGAGGAGGTGGATTATGACAGGATTAAGTCTTTTATGTGAATAGGAGCCATGAGACCTCCTCTTTCTCCTTCACTCAACTTCTTTCTTCCAACCTTTAGTATCTGAACTCACCAATTACATCATGTTCTTTCATTTAACTCTGAAACCCACCTCAGAACCGCAGACTCACTCAACTTGGCAAAAGGAGTACTTTTTTATTTATCTGCAGCCTGTCTAATCTAGTAGAATTTTTCTTATCCTAAATTTAGCTGATAGATTGTCAGACTAATCTGTATCACTATCAGCCACAAAAAAATCCAGTGTTAATTGATCCATATTGGACAATAAGCCCAGTTTCACCTACTCTTAAAGCACAACCCTAAACTTTGAATCTTAATCATCTTTTCTTAATCTGTACTTTTCAATTGTGTAGCTTTCACTACCTTGTGTACCAGTCATAACAGCTAAAGGTTGAAAATAAGTTTGTTTGTTTGGTGCCTTAAACTAAAGCGGTTTTTATTTATTTACAACAAATATTTTAGTGTTTTCTAAGTTTCTTGAATTTCATAGATCTGGTCACCACCAGTTTGACATATTTTGATTCTGAATTCTTGTAAATGAATGTAAAATGCGTTATACCTGCTCCATCACAGAAAAATCGATTTGTAATTGCTTTGGTGAAAATTAACAATCACTCTCTGTCCTCCCTCTTTTTTGTGCCTCTTTTCATTCAGAAAGAAACACAGCAGACCTGTAAAGGAGGGTGTTGGTCAACAATAAGCATCAGGGCTGAGAGTAGAGAGTTGTGTAAATGTGGTATTGGATGTAATTTAGTCAATAATACCAACAATCTTAGGGTTGCATTTTGTCTGCAGGTCAATATGTGATTCACACAATGCATTACACTGCTATGCTTAATGGGGAATGGATTTTACTTAAATGCTTCTTTAGTCAAGGCCTTCACCTCATTCCAGAGTCAATATGTGTGTGAATGTTAAGATARCGTACGTTTAAATTGGAATCCAGCTTTTTAATTGCTATTACTTTTAACTGTAGCATTATTTACATTTTAATATTTGAGACTGACTGAGAGCAACCAGAATATTTTAACGTTTAAGTAAAATACCGTTTTTTAACACCTGATTGTATTTGAATCGGTGTTTTTACTGTAAAAGCAGTGAACATGAACTGTGTCATACTTTAGGATACTCCACATGAGAGCATGATGTTGAACTTCATAACTCTGTCTTCTAACGTTACTATTTCCCTTTGGGTTTGAGGCTGGAGGGCTAAAGTGCTCATCAGATTGTACAGTACATCAGACCTGTTAGGAGGGGTTACTGAGGGTGGGAGAGAACCCCGCTATAACTTCTTTAATATTACATGTTGGTGCTGTGGTTCATTGCATCCTACTCTTGGTTCCAGCCTTCAGTTTGGTGTGATGAGGCTTTGCGTGTGCAGCTGTTGGGGTTCATGTGTGTGTTTTGGCAGCAGGTGTTGTGTGATGTTGCGATGGAAGAGGTAAGCTGTAAGTTTTCTTGTTGTCGCAGGAGGACATCTTCTCTCACTTTGACTCTGCCTCAATCCAAATTGGTAAGACTTAAGATTTGAAAATCGTGGAGCTTTTTAGTTTTTAGACCAGTTGGGGAAGCTGGCGCAGCAGTCCACACAGGTGAAACCTAGCTGCCCTGCTTTTTAGGAAATATTAATTTTGACATAAAATTATGTTTTACTGTAAAAGGATCTTTTAGTCTCCTGTTCTCTTGATCAGTCATGTTGAAGCACAACAGACCATTATTTATTAAAGCTGGGCTGCAAGAAAAACAAGTAACAAAAACAGACTTCTTCAAATCTCTTCTAAGAAATTAGGAAGCAATATTTGCTTAAATACTCAGTTGAAACTTCAAATATGAAGATCATAYGGTATATTTAAAATGTCCTGAGTTTCTGAAGCTTTGGTTTTATCTCAGTCTTCCAAGAGTCAGGGTCGTGTCAAACCTGTGCAACATCATGTTTGTTGAGCTTCTAATAATTATGCTGATGTGTCCTGTTAGGCTTTGTGCAAACCTTCTCACCTAAAAATAAGAATATAGAACCGTGAACAGTTTTATTCACTGATTTAATTTATGKTTACTTTGTAATACATTGAATAATTCAGTGATGTTTAGTTGTTTGTGTTTCTCTTGGGATCATTTAACTAACATGTAAGGTGTTTGTCTGATCGAGAAGCAGACTTATCGTTTATCACCTGCCACCTTCACTGTCCATCAGAATTCATATCAGTCTTCACTGTTGGATCATAATTAACAGCCATCTGAAACATTTCCTGCTCTGACCTCTTCAGGTTAATTATCTTGGGGGACAGCTTGTCAAACAGTGCAAAATCAGCTTTGGCTTTCAGGCTGATGAGAGTGTGTGTCTGTGCGTGTGTGTGTGTTTGTTTTTCATCTGATGTACAGTGAGTGTGAGAAAGTGTCTCTTTTAATCTCATATCCTTTTTGGTCTTTGTGTTTCTGTCTGAACAGCTTCCGGCTGACCTCAATAAGATGCATCTAACAGACCACGCCCACCAGCAGGTGACGCACATGGCTCCCAGCCAGTCAGGTTGCAGCATCACCAGTGATTCAGGGAGTAGCAGCCTGTCCGATATTTACCAGGTGGGTACTTCGTTATCTTTATACAAACTGTTTGTTCTTGTTGTTTTATTGTTAGACAGCACAAATTAAAAAGAAAATGTWATTTACATGTCCATAGTTTGGGGCTTTTTACTTATAAAAAAACAATAAAAATCACATTTTACTACAGATCTGTTTTTTAATTTACCGACAAAGTAACCATAATTTTACCTGACATATTGTTAACTTCTTTCACTCTTTTAAGTGTTATATTTAAATAAAATATTCATTATGTATCATTAGTAAAATAATAGATTTCAGGCTCTTAGAGTTCATATTTCTTTGATCAGTTTGTTTGCAAATACATGTCGCACACCTTTTGAGTTATCCTCCTACTTTAACTTTCATGTTCTATGAAAAAATATATACTTTTGATGAATAAATAATGAAGCTTTTCTCTCCTGTGCCACCATTTCTTATCAAATGCTGGTAAATTATGAAACCAATCTTGTGTAATGACAAACCTGCTGTGTGCTTTGTAGCATCTGGTTTGCATAAGTATATGTTGCTGATGGATATTTGTCTTTACCTCGATGCGCCTCAGCTTTGTTTGCTTACCTGTTACTCATCAGTCAACATCCTGACTTTCTTTGCTATAATCCTTCTCATCTTGCTAATTATTGCACCTCAGCTGGTGGCTTGTTTTTCTCGGTACTTCCTGCTGTGAACAAAAGGTCATATGTAGTAAATAAACRTTTAAAGCTCCATTTTTACCTGTGCTATCGGTAAATAAATTGAGCTGTTTCCTTCAGGTTATTTAAATTTAGAACAGTGTTAGCTTTGTTATGAAAGATGTTTGGTCTTTGCATACAGTAAAACATTTATCAAACCTGTGTTCTCGTGTCTTGATGGCAGCTCTCCAGAAACAAAAGCTGTTCACCCTCCTGCACTACAACACTTCTTTTTTTCTTTTATTCACTGAGCTTTGTGGATTTAGGAACCTTTGTTTTACTAACTCTCAGTCTTCAACTCCCCAGCTGCTGTAGCTGAGGGAGACAGTGTGGAGATTATGCCTGATATGTTGAAACTGGTGTGTAGAATTAGAGATTAAAGTGAGTCTACAACATGCCTAAACTGATAACAGGAGACGTGGTAATAAATTACTTTTAATGAAGTACTGAAATAAATAACTTTTAATKAATGTACTGAAGACTGGGGATGATCCTCCAACTAGACTTTTCTTTTATTAGTAAAACGTTCTTTTAAAATAGCTGTTTTCTCATTCATGCCACATGTTTTATGTGACATTTCTAAGCCTTCACTCATTTAGCGTGCTTTGAAATTAAATCCCTCTCAAGTAAAGGGCGTCTAGATGTCTGCACATTGATAGTACAAGAAGATGAACATGATAATCCTGTCATTTAATTGTTTTAACCCCTAAGATTTTTTATTCCTTCTTAACAGAAGAGTTTACAATAAAGATCCAAGACTCTTTCTTTCAGCATCAACTGGCACGTTCATGGGTTTTTATCATTGTTGATGTTGCTCTTATTGCAATATTCTGTAGATATTTCTAATATGTTGCAGATTGTGCATCAGTGATTTAGARCTTCTTTGGGACTCTTGATTATTAGTAATGTTAAATTTCATAATGGAAAGCAATAAGATTACAGTAGTTCGAATAAAGATTTTGAGCTTTAAAATTGCATCGATTGCCACAACTGGAAACAAACTAAAAAAAACAATTTACATGAACTTTCCCCTTCTATCGAGATACAAGCCATGTGTGATTTTTGCTTTCCATTAATTAGCTTTAAAAAATAAATAAATAAATCATTACATTATAGAGGTTCATTATGATTAGCTTTGGCAGATGCACTGTTTGGTGCTTGTTTTTTTTTAGATGTCACCATTTTTATTTGTCTTGACTATTTATCTATCTTAAATAAAATTCTCAACAAAAAATAGAAAGTAAAACAGGGTAAAGCACAACTTTATAAACTGGTTTAAAAAACAGTTCCCTTGTCTTTCTTCCCTATTCGGCATTTCTGTGAGTGTTTGATGTAAGTCAGGTTAACCCGGATCAGACATTTAACACAAAGAGCAGATCGTTTTATCCCCAGATTAGGTATTTATCACACGGATTTGATCCCATCAGCTTGTCACTGACCCGGCTCTGTGTTTGTTTACAGCCATCTTAAGGAGCCGACCTTCCAGTCAGCTGTAGGCCCCAGCTGTCAACCCAAGAGACTGTTGTTGTTGAGAGTTTATCCCATGCGTTTATATGATTTTTACTGCCTGCTCTTTCACCTATTTCCTCTGTAGTTAGTTGTTTTTTTTCTCAACTTTAAAACTTCTTGACTTTTCCTACCCTATTCATAAACTTCCACTTTGCTCTTTTATCTCTTGGATACTTTGAATTCTGAACATTTTTCACATTCTAATTATCTGTCACTTCTCAGTTCTCCTCACATTGTCCTAAAAAGACAATGGGCCTCATGCAAGAACATGTTCGTATTTTTATCCTAAATTTCTCTTACTTTTGTTCGTACGAAGGGTTCGTACGAACATGTCATGTCAGATTCAACAAACACTTCTATCTTCAGGAAAAGTGTGTAAATGAGCTGC